CTTTCGCTTTATTTGTTGCAAGGGTAGGGTAGAAGTTCTTTTAGGGTACCAAACTTATCAAAGTGAAGCTTTGAATTTTAGTCTTTTTTCAAGCTTAGGACTGCCATCATAACCATTGCATTACTCTTAGCCCATTCCTAACTTTTAATGCCGTGTGGGTCAGAGATTGTGCATGAAAACCTCATAATGCCATATGGGTCAGCCTACTATGCATGATTCATCAAACCCTCATTATATCACATGGGTCCTTTCAACTTGGGTCTTATTCTCAGCCCTAAGGTAACCTTCTACGCTGTCAATTTATTCATTCCACCTTTGCTGATACAGTGATACTGCACAAATCTGTCAAAGAGAATATCATTGAATTAGCTCAAATAGCGAAATAACATTATAGTACATCATGATTACATCAAAAGGTATTGCTCTATCTTCGTATTTTCCAGTTAACAAAAACGAATAAAGATGTATGATCATATAGTTTATTATTTAACGAGTGTTAAAATAGTCAAGCAAAAATTATATGACATACATATATGCGTAACAATCTTGTGTTTTGTCGGAGAAATGGGGTAGCAGCAAGAAACTGCATTATGCAGCTATTTTTATTTTTATATAAATAATCAGACCTAGAGATGCAACTCAGATTCTTTTTTCTTTTTACTATAATTAGCATGTTCAATGAAGAGATACCTAGTATAACCATGATGAGTTTTATAAAATAAATGTTTCATTCACTTTGGCTGAGGCACTATCAATGACATCACCTTATACCCAAAATGAAACCAAGGCACATGACAGTGGTATATTTTAGATGTAAAATAGTAGAGATACAAGAAACGAGCTAATTAGTATGTTAATTGGCATAAACTTTTGGAAAAAATAAATTTTATAGTTTCAGAATAATCATATATAACGCTTCATCTCAATGTATTGAACAATGATTTAGTATTCAAGGAGATGAAGTAGAAGATAGGTAGAAGAAAGAGTAAAAATTGCAGCTTGGGCACTACCCTGGGTGCAATGATGAGGGAAGTGAGATGACATTTGGGATGTTAGATAGAAGATTGGCACACAAATAAGTGTAGTAGGGATTGAGAGGATAGGAGTCAAAAGAGAAGAGAGACATATTGAGTGTTTCATCACAAACGCAAAGATAAAGTTGATCCCTATGCTCGATAAAGCCCATTCTATTACTCATATCCATCCCTTCTCACATACTAACATAAAGCATTCAACACAATATCTGAAACAACTTTCAAAAGGCAACTTAAAAAGAGTGAAATAGAGATTTTGTTCCCAACCGCTGTCACACAACTTTTCTCACACAACACAACCACACTCAAAATGTTCCATTTATTAATAATATACACATGATGATTTTTATCTTCATATTTTTAATTGATTTCAACCTCCCTTTTAAAATAAATAAAATTCCCATAGTTATCATGTTCAACATAATTGAATTAGAAAATGGTTTGTTCAGATTAAACTGGATTAAGTAAATTAAATTGAATTATTTTTAAACTTTTGTTAACTAAATTTTCTCAACTGAAAAAAAAAACTATAAAAAAAATATATAAAGAATTTATCACTATAATTTTTCAATTTAAATTAAAACATGATTTATTTGTTAATAATATAGTCTAAGTTTTGTTACATAAATTATATATAATAATATAATGTAAATATAAAAATCTTATATGTCGAAAATAGAAAGCCAAATTTCCACGTAAGCAAAGAAATAATACTACTGTTTTTTCTATCAATGTATTATAATTATGAACCTATTGAACTATATTCTTAATATTAAAGTAATTTTTAACAATCACACTTTACAACTATTTAATTATGTTAACAAAAAATATATAAAATTAACATGAAATCAATGACTTCAAAAATAAATAATGGATAATTTTGTTTTTCAATTTTATAATTAGACTTTTAGAACTAAACTAAAAAAATAGTTCAATTGAGTTTTTCAAAAAATAGTTCAATTATTTCACAGTTTAAGTAACCGGTAAGTTAGTTGAGTTTAATACTAAGGTGTTTTTGAATATTTTATAGATACTACGATGACGTTATGCTGACGTGGATTTCTCCAACGTGGATAATCTAATTGAATATATAGGAAATGAAAACGATAAAAGTAAAAGAGAAAAAGAAAATGTGGGGTTGAAGAAACAAATGATAACATACTGTACGTGTCATTGTGAAAGGCAGGAAAAGAAAAACTCTGAAATATTGTTTTGGTTTTTTAATTTTTTATCTTTTATTTCATTAATATATATATATATATATATATATATATATATTCGTTTTAATCTCTATATACGTGATCATTTACTTTTATTCTCTACTAAATAATTTTTAAAGATATTAATTTAGATAAAGAAAATATTACAAAACTAAAAATAAAAATAAGTATATGAAAATAATAAAAAATAAAAAGTCACAGGAATCAAAAGTAAAGAAAAAATTTTAGGTATAAGATCAAAATTTGATTATGTCTTAGAAAAAAGAGACAAAGAATAAAATAAAGGGTTTCATCGAATAAAAATATATTTTTATGCATATTTAATATAAATTTATTTCACATACACTACATATTAGTGAATAAGAGGACAAGATTGATTATTTTTTTCAAACTTTGAGTGTTATCTAAACGTAAGTAAATGATTCGTACTAATGAAAGATATTAAACTGAGGGAACTTAATTCAAACATATTTAGCTATTTTATAGTAGAACAAAAAATTTATAATTCGGTTGAATTCACTACAAATTTGATAATTTATTATGGACATGTGTGAGCTCATAATCAATTCGATTCAAACTCATTTAGATTATAGGTAAGTAAATAAATTGTTTAATTTTCTTAACCCAAACTAATTCCAACTCTTGATAAATTGGGTTCAGTAACGTTATATAACTGTATTGACACTTAGTATTTGTAGTCACATGACCTATTTATAAAGAATAGCACAAGAATGTTGACAATATGATGTTTATGTTTGACCTAATCAATAAATGCTCATTCTCACGTTCTAATCCTTCCTAACTAAACCTTTCTTCTTAGCGGCGATGCATCGTCCATTATCTGTAGCCGTTAAATATGATGTAAATGGACGGAGGGCTGAGATTATTATGGGCAACTTGAAGAACGGGTCAGCCATTGAATTTGCTGAAATTGCAAAGATGGTAATTTTGAAATGGTTGATAGAAAATATTTGTAGTTAGTTTAGGAGAATGCAAATATATATTTTTAAAAGAGAAAGAAAATATTGAAAATGAGAGTAAAAATCCAAGATATGTAAATTACACCTGTGAATATTTATGAGCATCTTAACCTTGTATGATAAGAGGATAAAAGCAAATAATGCATGAACCAACTATATATTTAGTGTAGTGTAGAATAATGCAGGGGCAAGTGGAATGGCATGTTTCTACGTGGCAGATTGTAGACCTCACATGAAGAGCTTCATGTCACAGCTAGTGCCATACCAGGACGTTTGGAAACTTCAAGTGGATTCTCCTCTTTCTCTACAGGCCAGACATACAACCGAACCAGTTTTCCTTTTTCAGTTTCATAATCTACAAGAGGTACTGTACGTTTTTCTTTCAATTCTTTTTTAATGGCTTGTTCAATTTTTATCTTGTTGTATTCTGTTATAGATTCATATGTACAAGATGATGCTCTTTTCATATGTATGAATGAAAGAGTTTGGTCAACTTTATATGATGCAAAACATATAATATTTCTTTTTTGGAAATCTTTTCTAATTATTTTTTTCTATTGCTTATTTTCACGTGATTGTAGAGTGTGCACCACATTCTATTCTTACAAGTACAAGTTTGAAATATTTGGTCTTATATGCAATTAATATGTATCAAGAATTGACTTTGAATGAGCTTGAGGTCTTGAACTTGATCCCTTAGCTTATTGATCTCCTTATGCCCAACTATGACGAAGACAAGACAACAACATCCTACAGTTTTAGATTCAATAGTTTGTACATGTACCTGTTGCTGTGCCTGGATTTTTAACATTATAAATAGTAAGTAGACTCGAATGAATGTGTAAGAGTACATAAAATCGTGCTTGATAATGGTATCCTTGCTGCCCCTACATAGCTTAAGTTTTATTTTTTTGTTAGGAGGTTCGTGTTTGAAATGAAAATTATTCATGGGTCTACGCCTAGTGGCTTGAACTTTTGGGATGATAATAAATTAATAAGGGAAAGATTGAGGCTATTGCTATCTGTGATGATAATTTCTTAGGAAGATAATAATTAGAAATATAAGAAGCTATTAATTAGTGCTTATCCTAGAAATCTTTGTTAGCCATTTACCACACTAAATAGATCTTTAGAATGAGAAGAATCACTCCAACATTTAAAGGGAATCGTGTATCCAACATAAGAGATGTGATCATGTGAGTTCAAGAAATGTGAAAGGGTCTGTCACTCTCTTGAAAGTGAGAAAATGTTTATCATTCCTTGTAACTTCTGAGTGGGAGACACAAGTTTGAAGAGTTACACACACCATTCAAGGACGATTTTCTAGTCTCTCCTGCAAACTTGTGATCATTATTTGTGATAGCAAGCTGTATTTGTTGAAATATTTTCGAAGATGTAAGCAAAAGGTATTAAACGATGTTATGCTGTTCTTTCACTATTTGTGGTGTTTTTTGTGTCTCCAAATAGCATAGGGGTCGGGATTCAAACACTCAAATAATACTGTTCCAGGACGACATAAAACAATAGTTCATGATTTTTATGAGATGAAAAATGCATTAGTTCAACATGCCTTGTAAGGAGCATCTTAAAATGGCTTGAGAGTAACCTATAATTTAATCAAGTAATTTGATGGCACACTTGTGTTATGGAGCTAGTTTTGTTGCCATTCAAACCGTAAATAGACTTTTATTCAGATGACTACATAAAAGGCTCACTTGATTGTTATAAATATTGCAGGGCCTTCTGCTATCTACTGAAAGGTGAAGATGAGTTCAGAAAGCAAGAAAATAAAACCAAAGACTGATTTTGAACCCGTTCTAAATTATTCTGATTCTTGCATTTGGAAAAATGACTCCGGTGCAGGTGCAAATGCAGCTTGTAAAATAGACAAGACATTTGCTGCCATTGACCCCCTATCTGAAATAGTTTGGTCTCCAGATAAAGGTTTCAGTCTTAAATGTGTGGATTCAAGTTTTACTGATAAAAAAGTTTCCCTTTTTGGGAATGTTGAACCAAGCAGTATGGTTCTTGCTCTGCTCCAAAGCGTGACCGATGGAAGTTCTGAAATGGATAAACCATTAAAAGATGTTTTTGAAGAACCTATTGCTGTCATATGCTCAAAGAATGATGTTTCCTCCACAGATACTTCCTCTAGGAACACACAAAGTGATTCAGTTATCATCATTTCAGACCATAAAACATGTGAAGATGATAATGGTACAGGTAAAAGTAACATCGACTGTGCTTGCTGTAGATGTAGGGAAAGGTGGATTTACAATACATCTTTGAGTTCAAGATCGCGTTAATGGAGGGGAAAAAAATCTTGTTATTATTTAAATGATTAATTATTTGGGACTTCTCAATTTGTTTGGTTTCTTTATTGTCACTTTTTTCCTGTAAACTACTTTTGCTCAATTCCCCAGAACAATGGTCTGGCAGGATTTGGTGATAGCACGGAGAACATGAACATTGCAAGAGAAACACCTCCTTTGCCAAACGGTCAGAAAGAGAATGTAATGAAAGATTGGGAGAAGAATAGTTGTGCACAAGCTAACAATGGAACAGCTATAATATCTAAGATAAAGGGAAAGAAATCTACTATTTCAGGTATGTGCTGTGATCATCATTTATATGGTACTGATAGGAGAAGAATTTAGCCATTTTAGGAAACTTTTGTTACTCTTGCTCAGCGCATGTTCTGCACTCTTGTTGTTGGTAAACAATTTATATCAATTTTCCTGGAAAATAATTCGCATCATTCTAGTAGTTTTTTTCTTTTTCTTGACATAGGTTCTAAATTTAACGCATTTCTTTTATGTTTAAAGGCACGGGCTGAAGCTTTTTGTTAAAGAAAAATGCAAGTTCATTCTTTTGTGCATCCCTGAAATATCACCTGCATAAAGATTTTCCTACAGGTCAGGTTGACGAAATGCCAATTAGTAATTTATTACTTCAAGCGGATGAGCCTAAATGTAGCTTGAAAGAAAATCCTTCAAGGAAACATTGTAATGGACGCATAGAAACTGGTGTTGTCAATCAGGTGGTTGAAAAAGAAGATGGATTATATACTAGGGTTGAGCATGTAATCGTATATAATGGTTCCGCTGCTCTTGGGACAAATTTAACACCTGGCATCAACCCTTCACCAAAACTAGAATCAACTGCAGAGAATGATTCACAAACTGTCGACTGTGAGGCAACTTGTGCGGGCACAAGCGCAGTTCTTGCTTCAAAATCCAATGAGAATAAAATAAAATCCCAGGTCAATGAAATGATGTTACTATGCAGTAAGAACTCTCCAATCATGCCTTCTCCTTGTAATAACAGGATTCGCATGACAAGAAATGAAGGTAAGGAAAAGTCCTTATCAGATGAAGATTCAAATGTCAATTTACCAAATGAGGATGACGTCCATACAAGTTTTGAAAGTTGCCATAGTTCTGGACTACTTTTGGCAGGTAAGAAGAGAAGCAACTTTCTACAAGGGATAATTGGGAATAAAAAATTAAAAAAACCTATTCAAGAAACTTCATATTCTAATGTTCAAACGGATAGCTCATTCATGAACTTGATTTCAAACATGATGAAACGATGCGCACAATCAACTCAAGATGAGGACAAGTCTTTGGCTCTTAACCTTGAAAATCCTAATCACCATCTTCAACAGCCTGATCAGAAACTTTTCACATGTAAAAGGAATCAAGATCCAAAGTTAAGACATGCAGGGTTCAGTTCCAATTTTCAGTCAATGCTTGGTGCGAAATTTAAAAATGTTGGAACAAGAATATCTCAAGTAGGAGAGGCTTCTAAAGAATTTGCACCAGGAAATAAGGTACATGGAATAGATGCTGCTCCAGTTACCTTCTATGCAGAGAACAATAGCCTTTACAGACAGTATTTGACATCAAATAAACTTGAAGTATCTGAACGCAGACTTGCCTTTCCATCCATACCGCCTCAGACTAGTCCTGTTAATTCTCTCAATAGTCATGAACACTGGGAAGATAACTCATTGGAGAATGAAAATTGTTACAAGCTGGGGCCAACTAGGGAGAAGGAAGGAATGCCATTACTGCCATTACATTTACCCTCAACTGGACAAAACAGAAATAATAATGAGAATGTTGAGTGGTATGCACTGTATGAGAGAAAGGAAATCTGTCATAAAATTGAAACTGTGGAAGGACTTTGGATAAATCGGTTTTTACCAAAATCAACTTCCCCCTTGACAGTTTTTGATCACCTTAACAAGAGAGGTGATTCTGAAGACCATTTCACGCCTTGCTCAATGCTTCCTCAATCCCATAAACACATTTCTCTGAACAACTGCAAGACTGAAGAGGCCAGAGAACAATCTGCTGATGACCAACTGCTCAGGGATCAAAATTTACATAATTGTTGTAGCAATGAAGAGAATTCCACTGTCCTAAAGGATGATAATGGAAGTCAATATCACTCAGCAACGCATAAGTTCAAGTCGTTTACACCTTTCCCAGGATTGAGAGATTCAAGGCCAATTATATCCATGTTTGCAAGAAGATTAGGTGCCATCAAACAATGGCAACATATAGAGTAGCCTACCACAGATAAAAATGTCTTGCTTGCTTTATGGGACAAGAGACTCACCAACTTGTACTTACCAAAAGATTAGAGGAAATAATTCATGAACTCATAAAAATAGAAATGCACATAAGAGAGTTGGATTGGAAGTATCTCATTGTCAATAATTGTCAACGTATTCGTGTTGTTATACTGTATTTTCCTCTTTATTCTTTTCCTTGGTGACAAGTGCGATGAATGAATGTTTTTCTCATGATGTTTGAACTTAAGTTTGACAATGCTACAGTAATTAACGCAATAATAGAACGCTTATACTTCAGAGGAGTAGGGTATGAAACGTTTGGTTATTCAAATTGCATAATTAGCCGCTCTAAGCGATATTTGATTTGATTTTATATTGTTGTTTGAGGATAATATTTTGGTCGTACAATGATAAAAATAAATAAATAACTTCCTAAACTCTTTCTTATCGAATCTCACACTAAGATAATTATAGGAACGTATTCGTTATTTTCTCTAAAAACAGGAAGAGATGAAATAGTAAAAAAAAAATTGATGTAAAATAATAAAATTTAAAAATCAAATTACTATAAAATATATATGATAATTAAAATTATATTGAAATAGAATTTAAATAACTGAAGTTTATAAAATTAAAATAATGTTCTTTTAATTAAAATACAAAATAATAATTATTTTAAAATAAAATAGTATAGTGATTAAAATTAAATTGAAGCATAATTTAAATAATTGAAATTTATAAAATTAAAATAAATTATTTTTAATTAAAAGTACAAAAATAAAAAAATTACTTTAAAATAAAATAGTGCAATAATTATATTTAAAATTTCTAGATGCAATAACTCTAAAATTAAATTGAGAATTGAAATTGAAAAAAAAAGAATTGAAAATAAATATTAAGTAGTACTAGAATAAAATAAAAATTCTAAACAATTAAATAGTAGAAATAAAAATGAATAGTGAATGAATAAAGTAAATAGAATAATATAAATTGAAAAATTTAATAGAAATTATTAATTAAATCAAAGAAGCAAATCAAAAGTGCAGTAGGAGAGCTCGCGAGCTCGCCTAACTAAAACTAAGAACACAAAAGAAAACGGGGACAATATTAAACACAATTCACACAAGAGCATGATATTGTGATTGTGTTGTCATAAGACCTCTATTAATAGAAGATTGAGCAAGAGAAATTAAACCTAAAATTAATTCCAATAAAATCAAATATTTTTCAAATAAAAAATTGAAAAATTGGATTGTTGTGAAGAAAAAATGATGGAACTGATTTGAAGAAAATAATATATATATTTTTCCTATTTTGAGTGATCCAACACTGATTTGCATTTAATTATTGATTATTGATGATCTTTAATTCAACTAAATCGGATTCCCCCACCAGTTAATTTGTTTAATTCAAAATTTCTATTTATAATATTATGTAAGTGGGTTGCAGAAACAAACTTGGACTTCTGAGAAAAGTATAGTTCAATCTGCATCAATGTGTGCATTTTTTTTCATCAATTTGGTTCATCTCAAATTATTATTTTCTTATAAAAGAAGAAAAAAATTGCACCGTAAATATATGTATGTATATTATTTCTTTTATGATAAAATTATACAAAATATAATAAATTTTAAGAAATTAAATAATGATATTTTTTATGAAAATATTTTAAATGGATGATTTATGAAGAAAATAATTAATTTAAAAAATATTCTTAGATTAAGAAATATAGAATAAAATTACATGCATCATAAAAAATTTGATTTTATATTATTGTGCTTAAGTTGGTTGATTTCTTAAGAAAGTGTAATAATCTCTTATTGCTTAATGAATGAGACGAGGAATGAACTTATATTATTGATAAAGAATGAACAAAATACTGAAGATAAGGAATGAACACAAATGAAGAGATAGTTACAATTATCATGGCCAAGAAAGAACTTTTTTTCCGGGAGGATTATATGGATGGCAAAGGCAGTTGTTAAATAGAAGCAAACCTAGTGGAGTGAATTTCTTCATTTGTAATATTGTGTCATGTGAACAAAATAATAAACAAGTCTTCAGTCAAGTCAATTTCTTTTATCAAAGTCAATCATAATTTAATAACATTATAAGAGCTGGTCATGTCTAAGAATATGGTATTGTAGAGTGAATTAGTAAACTTTCATTGACTAATTTATAAACGAAACCTTAATGTTTAAGATGTTTATTCTTTTGTACATCCTTTTTTATTTGATTCTAACTATAATGTGAAACTTTGTTCTCCAACATTACCAAGCGTGGATCGAAACAGTAAAGCTAACTTTTTCTTTTTCTCAGCACTTCCCGTCAACGGTGGTCGTGTCTTATGAACTTTACCACCAACTAGTGCGTTTCATTTTTTGTGAACCAATACCAATAAGCTACGTGTTTCCTTCTGCTTCCACTATTTCATTATAAAAATTAGTTAATCAAGTAGTGATTTACATGAACAGCATTATATATATTCCAACTGAAGAAGATCCAGTAGAAGACAAATCAAAATAAGGAAATGATAGATATCCGATTTGGACGGAAAGTACATAGCATTAAATTTAAAAGCTCGAGTCTATTCTATCTTTTGTAGACAAAGTTTTGGTCTTTCTGATATACTTAATTGGTTGTATGTGAAAGGAAGAAGCTTAAAGTTAACGGTGTTTCACCCAAAACCATCCAACATGCCTCGTCAAAGAGGAGCTATTTCAAGAAATTGCTTTGTGTTTGAGATGAAATCAAGTAGTGCCAATCTATCTTACTTTCAGCTGAAATTTACAATTTCGTAAGCTGCTTGTGAATAAGACACTTTCACGTGGTTTCTTGTATCCTGGCATGGGTTGATAAAAATATGAAGCCAAACTTGTTTTGTAGAATCTTTTGTGTTGAGAAGTTGCTTCTATATTTGGAAGAAAGTTCTCCGAATCTATAGTTACTTTAAGCCAAATTATTTGTTACTTTAACTGGACTAAGCCTTCAATTCTTCTGCTTAAAGTTGAATTTTATTTTATTTTTTCTGCGAGGAACTTTCATAAAGTATGGTTGTTATACTAAATCTGTAATATAATGGTGAAAATTCTCCTTCCAACCACATCAACCACTTCTGATTAATCTTCCCAATAATTTTTGGAACTGGGTTGGGTCTATTGCAGTATTCACAGATAAAAAAAACGTTATATATATCCTCTAAAAGGAAAATAATAGTGAAGAAGTCAAGAAATATATATAACTTCAATTCTGTTAAATTATGTGAGTGATTTTTGGATTTCCATCAATAATCTGTGTTTCCCAACGTCACTCACGTGGTTGAAAACTATTTTTATGAAGATTAATTATGAAACCATCGTGTCACAGGACAGATTCTATAATTTATGGATTTTATCAATCGTTATACCATAATTTAAGTCACAATTGAATTGAATAGTTTTTGAGTTTTAATTATTATATTATTAAACCAAATGAATTATATCTTAATTTTTAATTACGAAATTTAGTTTGATTGGTTGGCATACGATTCAATCATTACTATTTTAGTTATATTAAAAAAATAAATGATACCTGAACTAATTCTAAACCAAATAATTGTGAAAAACTAACCTATATTATTTTATATAGAAGCTTAAGTAAGTCAATTAAAATCAAATTATGATACTTAAAATATTATATTCTTAAATAAAAATAATTATATCTTAAATATTAATTATAATTTTTTTAACACTGTTTATTTCGAAGAAAATACCATCTTTCAGTTATATATATATAATTTTTTTTCTTTTAATAATTTTTATTGTTTTTTAAGATCTACATATTATATTTACAAGTAAATATTTTGATTAGATTTTTATATGGATTTGATAATTAAGACTATTTCATCATTGATATTTGAATATAGTGGTGCATTGATCAATATTTTTTTATTATTTTTTTTAATGTTAAATTTGTGTATTTTTATGTTAATGGTAAGATTTCTTGTGATTTTTCTCTTGTAAGTAAATTATAATTTAATGATGGTTGAGTATTATCTACTAAAAAAATAGTAAATAATATATTTTATTTTAATTAGATAAAAAATTATATTATAATTATATAATCTTTTATATGAAAATAAAGTCAAATAAAACATTATGAAAGTTGAATAGCATGTAAAAATGATTATTCACAAATTTTATGACAAATACTTAGTTCATTATATATATATATATTAAACGAACTTCAATTTTATATTGGATCCCTCTCCTCTGTCCTGATTCTATCCCTAGACATAACCTAGAAATTTGTTGGGATTGTCGCTAAACAAACAAAAATTTTGGAGTAGCTGCCAAGTCAATTCTCTTTATATGGATGTTGTCTGCTAACTCTTATGTCATCCATGATATTCATGGTGTTTCGTCTTATTATTAGTTAAGACAAATACTACTTCATTTTTATAAGAGGGTAATATAAGATTTATGATAAGATATTGTAATTTATAAATTATTTGGTGGGACTATATTTTTGATACGGACAGTAATTAACACAATATCAATTATAATATGTTCAAAATAAAGATATTTAAAATCTGAAAAAGAGATTTTATCATCACGTCATTAGAGAATTGCATTTAATTTAATTTAATAATAAATAATAGAGCTAGTTGTTTAATGATAATAATAATTAGTTAACGATGCAAAACTCACCAATAATATAAACAATTTATTTCACGCTTTCCAACCCTCAATAAAGACTGCACAATTTACTGTTTCTGACACTCTTTGCGCTTTTCAAGGGTTCAATTTAATCTGTACAGTATACAGCCTGTAAAATATTTCACATTATTATCAATAAAAATATCATACTTTAGCTTATATTATCTATAAATAATTATGATCAAAATTAATAAATTTATAGTAAATGAATTGATGATTAAGTAATAATATACAAATATATACTATTTATTTGTAATTAGATGTGTTACCTGAGAGTATTTAAATCTAAATAAATATCAAAATTTCAATTGAAAAACAAAATAAATAGTTTTTTGTCTATTATAAATTTTAAAAAAATAACATAAAAATTTATCCTTTTGGTTTTTTATTTTATCACATCTTAATGATCTACACAGAGAGAAATAAAAACAAATTTTATTAAAAAATAAATAAATTTGTAATTTGTAATAGAAATATACTTATGTAAAGAAATTGCATTGTTATAAATAATAAATATATTTATTTTTATAAATATTTCAAAAATGTATATATCTAAAATTATTTCTAACTATACATAAAAAATTATACTAATGATATATCAAAATATATTATTTATACTTTTATAAAATCTTATTAAAAACATTGTTGTATGAGTATATTTAACATAGTAGCAAAAATGGAGTATAACAAAAATATTTATCATGATTTTCTAAGTATTTAAAATATTAAACAAAAGTAAAAATTATATTAACAAAACTGTTTACGTTTAAAGTATTCTTTAACCAAATTACATTATCTTCATCATCATGATATGGTTTAGGACTGGTGTTAACTTTCCAACCCCATTCATCTCAAAATAAAATATTTTGTAGTTTAAATTTCATGATATATTATAAGAATTTAAAAGATTTGGAAAATAAATTTTGAACTTATAAAATTAGAAAAAGGTATATATGTACTTAGACAATATTTAAAATTATAATAATTAATTTAAATTTTTAAAAAGAATGTATTTCATTTTTTAATATGTTTAATAATTAATCGATTCTAACTTCATATTATCTTAAATAACAGTAACATTTTTTCTTTTATAGGAAAATGATTTTTAAAGTCTTATTATATAGATTATAATAGAACACAGTCCACGTCCGCTAAAATAATAGACGAAGTAGCAAGTACGTGTTTGGTTTACTTTTGAAAAGTTTCAGCAAAGAGCAAAAACACGCTCGCTATTAAGCACGTTAGCAAGGCACTCACATTTATTTACCCTTCGATGGGTGGTTTTCATTTCATTTGATCCAATCCTATAACAGGAATAACGCCTAGTTTATACAAACAATGAAAAAGGTTCGGTTGGCACGTCAATAATTGGCCCTTCCGCTCCACTTCCATTTACTCTGTTTCAACCACTCATTCATTCCAACAACAATCTTCAACAAGATGCAGCTGCAAGGTTTGTGTACTATCACTGTAAACCTACCTATGTCTCAATCGTTAAAGATTGTACATATAGATTAATACACCTAACTACGTTTGTTTCTTTTTATTTTTCAGATGGTTCTGTCGGTAAAGTGATTAGCTTCATAGCCTCACATGTTGTGGCCACGTCCTTTGCCGGAATAATTTCGGAGCAGTCAAGGGTGGTCGCAGACCACAGCATCATTCCCCACCTACGAACAACAGACTCTGGCCGTCTCAAAAAGTTTGAGAAGTTCTCTCACTATGTTGGTAATTACTACTTAATTAATTTAACTCCTCTCTCCCTTAATTAATTATCATGCTACTTCCTTCCTTCAAATAAATTCTTGTATCTAATAATCATGTTGAAACCAAACACCTAATAACATGAATGGAATGCACTTCCCACCCTCACATCTGAAAGCCAGAAAACGATTCCGACATATGATTGGATAAGAAATAAGTGATCAATTTTTTTTGAGAAAGCCAAATTTTCCACCCTGTCAGTGAGTGAAGGCCCCAGAAAAATTGTGCCTAAACAGGAGAATAAATTATATTTTGTAATTAAATATTTTAAATTTTAATATTAAATTATATTGAGAAATTGATCATAGTTTTTCTTATTTTACCTAATTTTAAACCCAAGTAAATGGAATGGGTCTTCTTCTTGTTCTTCATTTTGTCCAAGTAGTCTCAATTTCTTGGCACGAGAGAGTCTTTATTTTTAGATAGTAAGTAACCTAGGCCTCTAGGAAAACAGGATTGCACAATAACTCGTGTTTCATAAGTTTTTAGCTTTTTTTTTTCCTTGGATTTAATTTTGATAGAAATAATAACGCGCCTGTTTGATTTTATCTTCCAAACATCGTATCGATGTCCAATTCAAAGTTACTATCCATTGATATAATAAGAAAGTTCAAACTCAAGCGCGTTATGGGGACGTTAATGAAACTCAGCGTAAGAAGATTTTTACACCCAATTGCTTGCTTTTCAGGGTTAACAGCAGCATAGTCTTGTCTGTTCCTCATTATTACATAAACTTCGTCGACACAGAATACATAAACTTTATCGCACAGATATAACGTTTCACAGAAGTTTTTAAAGCTTAAAAAGTTATTTTGTTAAAGCTAAAAAGTTATTTTAAATGATAAATACAAAATTTTGAATTTTGAAATTAAAAAGGAACAGCAAAGTTTTAAAATTATTTTCTTCAAATTTTATTTGATCCAACTTTCCTTTTAATTTAAAAGAAAAATTAGTAAGACAAAAAGTTTAAACTGGTTCGCGTCATCTAATTTATATACATATACTCGTACATACATACAAATTAGTTTTCATTTCACTAGCTTAGTAGCTTTATTTTTTTTTCCGGAAAAAGACAAAAAGAATGACGTGTATGCTTAGGGCGGGGATGAACTTGTGGAGGAATGAATATATTATTTATTACTAGACTATATCCTTATTTTGAACGCAACATTAATGTTCCATGTGCTCATACGAGCATTTTAAAGAAAATTTTAACAATAGTTATTTAAAAATAAAACTAAATATTTTATTTTGAGTTTTATAGTTGAATTATTTAAAATTTGATTAAAATTATTAAAATAAATATTTTTTAATTTTAAATAATTTTTTAATTTTTAGATAATTTAAATATAAAATTTATAATAAAATATTTATTTTTATTTTTAAACCACTTTTTATACCAATTTCCGTTGGATATGTTCTAAATTACAACCCTAAAGAAACAAGCGAAGTTGAAATTTGTTGTGTACGCACGTGACGCTTGGAATTTAATATTATATTTTGACTTTTTCTTTGTATAGTGAATTATTTTTATTAGAAAGCGGTCCAACTTTTCCACCGTTCTAGTCATGAAATGTTTGAATTGTTCAGTTTTTTATATATTTATGTTTTTTTTTATGATTAAAAAACAACAGAAAAATACGTAGATAGAGTAACAGTGAATGGAGTTGGAATGGTGGAGGTTTGATAATAAGATGGTGAATGTGTGTTGCAGTTAGACAACTGGGATTGGCAGAGAGCGAGGGTCCAGAAGTGTGCAGATTGGCAAATGAGTATTTGATGAAATCGAAGGAATGTGTGGAAAGTATCGTTCAATATTTTGCCCACCAGAACGATCCTACTTTACCAGCAAAATTGATTTATGAGTTTGACCGGTGCATCCTCAGTTATTTCGCGTTTCACTGGAACCAGGCTTCTTTGCTCATTAGTCAGGTATATTTTCACTACCTCAATTATTAAAATCAAATATATTTTTTAATTGAAAAACAACACGAGGAAATCGCCTTTTTAAGGTTTATCTTCTATTGCTTCATTCACCTATCTAATTAAATATTTAAAAATGAATGTTATAATTTTTTTTAAATGCAAAATCACGTTTACTTTATTATGACTCTACTTTTTAAAAAAATTATTTAGAATAAAGTTAATTTATTTAGTTTTTGTTATCAAGATATTACATATTGATCTTACAAAAGAATGTATTGATGTTAACTTTCAAAATCTTCTTATCAATTTTCTTAATAGACGTGGTTGTTAGGGCAATTTTATTCTTTCTATCAATATATTATTCTTGATTCTGATGTACGTCTTTATATCCACGGTAGAACACAAATAAATAACAGACAATATAAGAAAAGTGTTCTAACTGGAGAATTTACAGAAAAAGAGTAAGAGGAGAAAATAACTTTACTCGTTTTTCTTAACGGTCACTTTTTTAAAAGATTAATATTTCTATTTATGTATGGTTTTCAAAGTTCAACAATATTAATTACTTTATTTTTATCATTTGTTTATTCTTATTCTTCATTGCCTTATACTAGTTTACACATGTAAGATAGTTAGTAACTCCTAATAATTTAATATTATTTTTTAGGTAGTTAGTAACTTTTATTTTTGAAGTTTTGTACTGAATTTTTAAAGTATTGTTTGGAACTAAAAATGTTTTTTTTCTAAACCTAATTTACATTTAAGCTGGCCTCTCTCTCTCTCTCTATGTGTTAAATCTAAATATTTAAGACATAATATGAAATTTAAATATTATTAAAAACAGTGTAGTCCTAATAGTAAAGTTGATAAATGTCTAACTCAAAAAAAAAAAAAAATGAACTTGTAATTTTATATACTCTAGTTAATCATATTTCAAATCTATATAAATATCCAACAAAGTATTATCGGAAGGAGAGCATTATGGGGTGAGCGTGGAGCTGCATCCCCTGCCAGAGGAGGCAGTTGGTCGGAGCAGTGCTGAATGGTGAAGTTATAGGTGGAGTACCAAAACAAGTTATTAAAGAGTCACCAAATGAATTGTCCAATGATTATCAGTGCATGATTTATATGTTTCTTTCTTCCTAGTCATACTTTTGTTAGTTTAAGTCAGATAGATTATAACATTTTTTTTATAGATACTTACTTTTAATTTACTTGTCTCAATTGCAGGTATTGAGTGATGAGTCACCGCAGAAAATAGAGCTAAAAAAGATCCTATTGGCAGCTACAAGGTGAATTTTTCAATTTATTTTTCATTTTCTTTGAAATAACTTACCTCGTTATATATTACTAATTTAACGGAAAAAGTAGTTAATAATAATAGTAATGAAATATAACTCTACGTAAATTGAAATATTAATGAATTATTTAGACCAAATTAGTTGAAGTAAAGATGGTGGTTGGTGTACAGGGAACAGAGATTTGAGAGAGTAAGCAAGAATCTGAAGGTGGCAAGAGTGTTCACTACTTTGGTGGAGGAGATGAAAGCAATAAATGGTGACTCGCAAAAAACGAACGACACAGTCCCCACTGTCCACAGTGAGAGGAGTCCAGTGCTTCTGCTTATGGGAGGTGGAATGGGAGCTGGAAAAAGCACTGTTCTTAAAGACATTCTTAAAGAGTAAGCAAGCATCATCTTAACTTTACTCTTCCACTATTATCATTATTCAATTCTACAATATGTCTTGGTGCAAATAACCAAAATATGAAAAATGAGTAAATGATGGATATGTCTTAAATTCACGGTTTTGTAAGTTATACCAATATCAAGAGAAATATGTCATGTCATGCCATAAAAATTCAATGTTATTCGATAAGATCTACAGAAATGCACATGTACACAATGACAACGTCGTAAGTGTACGAGTATCTCTAAATAGGACTATTCAAGGTTACAGACATGATTAAATTGGCCTAACTTTGCAAATTTACCTAGACTGAATTTGTATGTATCAACTGGTTTGGCAGATCATTTTGGTCAGGAGCAGCTTCAAATGCTGTGGTGGTTGAGGCAGATGCTTTTAAGGAGCGTGACGTCATATTTAGAGCCCTTAGCTCCAGAGGTCATCATGATGACATGCTCCAAACTGCTGAACTGGTATGCTTCTGTGTGAACACCTCCGTTCTATGTGAAACATGCATGCTCAAACGATATACAAATCCAAAATAAACTTTAAAAATTATGCATTACCATGAAGTTCCTTTTTGTAATTTAGCTATGACAAAATGAATGACATATACTATACTAGACCCTTATGAGCTACTTTTATCTAATGATTTCTTTGAATAAAATCTCGACAGGTACATCAATCGTCCATTGATGCTGCATCATCTCTGCTTGTGACAGCTTTAAATGAGGGTCGAGATGTAATCATGGATGGCACCTTATCATGGGAACCATTCGTGGAGCAGACTATTGCCATGGTAAGAAATGTTCACAAATATAGGTACCGAATGGGGGAAGGGTATAAAGTATCTGTAGATGGTACAATAATCACTGAAAATTACTGGGAGCAAGTAAATGATGCAGAAGAAGAACATCAGTCTTTGGAAAATTGTAATGGAGAACCACGCACGCGAAAGCCTTACAGAATTGAGCTAGTTGGTGTGGTTTGTGATGGTTATCTTGCTGTCGTAAGAGGCATTAGGTATATAATGCTTGTGATTTCTGGCATGTTACTAGTTTGGGAATTAGTTTTGTGGATATGATAGTTAACATTTCCCATTGGAATTTTAACAGGAGAGCTATAATGACAGGGAGGGCAGTGAGGGTGAATTCACAATTGAAATCTCACAAAAGATTTGCTAATGCATTTCCTAGATACTGCAAACTTGTCGATGATGCCAGGCTCTATTGCACAAATGCTGTTGGTGGTCCACCAGAGGTAAATTTGAAAATTTATGGAAATTCTATGAAATGACCAATTATACACTTTATAGAATTAATGTAAAATCATAAGGGTAACAAGCTATTAATACATTACAGCTCATATGGAAGAAGGATGATGATCACAATCTGCCAGATCGCAAAGAAATAAATTGCTTGGAAATGATAGGCATAGTAAACGTTGAAGCTGATTCCATCAACGAACTTTACAAGGAACCGAGTCCTATAATGCGACCAGGTTCTGTTTGGAAAGATGTTGTTCTTTCACCTTCTAGGTCTAATGATCAGAAGGAATTAAGGGAATCCATTCAGAAAATAGAAAAATCCATCAGAAAACGGTAACCCATATTGTTGCATGTATGTTCCACAAAGCCAAATTTTGGAGTAGCTTCAAGTTTTGTGTTCTTCTGCCATTCCTATGGTTTAATGAGCGAAGATTTGTTTCCTTGGCATCAACATGCAAACCAACTCCAATTCACAGGTTATTTAGTTTGCCCATGTACATATGGAACGTGCTTGCTTCATTGGAGCATTTGTAGATGAAATCAAATGTATATAAAAATCTCTGATTGTATCAAGCCTTACATTGTAACCTAAACAAAAATAAACAAAGCATGGTGACTAGGTTATCCAAAGCTAAGATATATCAATACGATACGAGTGTAGGATATGGTATCATATCTTATAGCCCGATATATTTATTTTAGAAAATAAGATATTATATTTATTTAAAAATATAAAAAAATTCATAAAACATAATAATTATGAAACTATAATCAATGTAAATTCAAATTTTAAAATATTGTAAAAATAAAAAATATAAATAATTGTTATCATAAAATATTTTCTATTATTTACAAATAAAAATAATACTATCAATTTCCTTAATTTTTTTAAAGTAGTTTATAAGAATAATTTTTTTCTTTGATTTATGAAAAATAATATTATATGTTTTATTTTATGCATATATTTCTTAAAGTTTTATTAAATATAAACAATTTATAAGTTTCAACATTTAACTTTAATATATATATATATATATATATATATATATAAATTATCTAAAAATATTATATGTAAAATAAATAGAAATATTGGCTGTTTCATAAATTTGGATACCTCATCTATGTATTCAATAAAATATCGATGAAATATTCAACATAATATATAACGAATACGATACCAAACAAATTAAAATATGGATACTTTGTACAAGGATGCATCTGCATGTTGTTGAAGACTCTACCTCTTCAGCAGCTAGATTTTTTGTATATCCCTTTTTTTTGCACCTGGAACTTAATGGGCTGTTTGAGAATATGAGCTTCAAGCTTGTTTGTGGCAGACTCTTATGAAGTCATGGGCAAAACATTGAAAGTTGTAAAACAGATTCTTTACAGCTATTCTTCTGAGATTTCACCTCAATTATGCGACTGATATATAATTTTACGATCAATGTCGGAAAGTCTAGGCTTTTCTAAACGAGTCTGGTTGTTACGAGTAATATAAAAGATTTTACTTTAGTTTTGAATAAAGTAAATATAATTTTTATCATAAAATCTTCGTATAAATTTATCTGCTATAAGTGTATTGGAAGTTTCGAAGTAGGGAGGGAACTTTCGATTAAAATTATTTATGATATAAAAATATATATTATATAAAATTATTAAAAATTATAAATCATTTATTATATTAATATAAAATAAATTAAATTAAATATGTTTTAAGAGTATTGTATAGTATTTTACATTATAAAAATTATCCATTATTATATAATTTATATTATAAATTACTCAATAATAAAAATATTATTTATTAAATTTAAATTTATTTTATTATATATATATTTTTTAAGGATGAATATATTTTTTTAAATATCTAAAAAATTTAACTTAATTTTTTTTGCGTTTTAATATCATAAAATATTAAATAACTAATTAATTAATAATAAATAATATATATTACTATAGGAAAATAAGTAAAAATAAAAAAATTATTTACTTAAGAAAAAAGTAAAAATAAAAAAATTATATTTTTTAGATTATAAGATGAGAATATGAAAAGAAAGGAAGTGGAAGAATGAAAGAATAATAATAAAAAAAGAAGTGATAGATAAAAGATAAAATTTAAGAAATTGAAGAGTAAAAAATGAAAAAGTGGAAGAAGAAAAAGTAAAAATAAAAAAAATAAGAGAAATAAATAAATAAAAAATTATATAGAAATCTAAAAATAATTATTATTACAATTATAACTATTATTATTATTTATAAATAAATATAATAATACATTTTATATTAAAAAATAATTTTATTTTTTATAAGTATATATATAAAAAAAAATCAAAATTTTTGGGAAGCCGTGACGGTCCCTTGATTTTGCCTCTGTTTCGAATTATGTAAATATTGAATAATATATTAATAAATAAATTATAATTTTAAATTGAAAATAATATATACTTTTTAATGAATTTGATGTGATATATTAGAGAATATTTTTATTTTTTAATTCGAGTAAAATAATTTGGTAATAGATATAAAATTTTATAATAGAAATATTTTACATTAATTATTAAATTTGTAATTAATATAAAATTTACGTTTAATTATAAATAATACAAAATTTGTATAACCATGTAAATCATGTGTTGTAAAATTTATATTTTATTATAGTTATACTCGTTTTTAGTTTAAAAGCTCCCCATGGTCATGATTAGTGATAAAAGAGAATGTTGAAGTAATATGTAAGTTAAAATGCTTTATCAACTTTTGTTTATTTTATTCATTCACGAGAAGTAACTCTCTCTCTCTTCTTCTTCTTCTTCTTCTTTTTTTTTTTTTTTTTCTTGTATACGAACCTTGTATCTAGATGTCTATAAAATTTTAATTTAATTGTTTTAATAATTCTATATATAAAATTGTTCTAGGATCATTAAATTATTATTATTATTATTATTTTAAATTTTAAAATAATGATTTTGAAAAAAAAACATTTTAATAATTATCTTATTAAATAATTTATTTTTAATTTTATTTTATGTATTTGTGGTTTTTGATTATAACAATTCATTCAAATTTGCCTATAAATAGACTATTTGTCTTGATTGTTAATGTTTTATTTAAGAAATAAAAAATATTTAAATATTATATCCGATATAATAATATTATTATAATTAATTTTTATATTTAAAGTATTATTTATTTTAAAAAATTTGTCTGTTATATCTTTTTAAGGCAAATTAAGGGAAACAAGTTATATAACTATATTTGGCTTGATTCGTAATATTTATTATACTCAAAATAATACCACAATTCATTTTTAGTTTTTATTAAAAAAACAACATGAACGTTCGATCTGACTAAAAGTTTTATGCATTTTTTTTTTCAAATCCATTAATACGAGAAAGGGAGAAAAACTCTAAGTGTATATCTTATTATTAAAAGTTAATTTAGTTGTAACATGTTTGGTTTGACCCTACCTAATCTGATAAAGATGAGATGAGAAGGAAAGCGAAGTATTTACTTTTTTTATTATTATTTAAATTTCATCAGAGTATCCTCACTTGATTTGATTCTGTGAGGTGAAATTAAATTATTGTATCTTATCTTGTTCAAAACATAAAGCCCTTCGTCTTCTAACAACATGAGACGACAAGTTAGTAGGTCTATTAACAAATTTTTAAAGTGTTTGGACGATTAATTTGTTTCAGCGAGACTTTAATAAACTCAACACGTCTTATCGATAGAAAAATATAGCAACATCATTTTCACGTCTTTGTCTCAGAAACTAGCTGCCATCTCAACAAAAATCCAAAACGATATTAATGATATACATCTACCATCTATAGTTCGGAAGTCTTAAAATGTGAGAATTTAATATTAATTTTTTATTCAAGTACTAAACATGATTTTAATAAATATATATTATTTGGTAAAAGTATATATATATATTCATCAATCATAAAATGTCATTGATGTTACTTATTTATTATAAAAATGAATAAAAATATTAAAAAATCATCATACAATGCAACTACTCCTATTTTTTTATTAGCATGTGTTGGTCGCTTCATGCCGCGGTGGTTGAGATCAGGCAATCCTGATTGTTTAAATTTAATATTTTATGAAAAAGAAAATTAACAAAAAATATAACAGCCGTTGGATTTGAACTGTTACAAGGTACGATTATGAAAGCAGATAATCCATTTTTATAAGGAATGCCGTTTCACTTACAACGGTTATTTATTTTTCGTGACACTTTTATTTTTATTTTGTTATTATCCATTTAATGAATTAAGTCAATATTTAAGAATGGGATGACTTGTAAGAAGCAGCCATTTGTGCTTCTGGAAACCCACAAACATGGAGCAAGGTCAGTCCAATCTCTGCTGCAAATTCTTCTATTTTCTTTGCATTTTTTTTTTAATTTCTTCTATTTATGGAACCATGTATATAAATATTACAACAAAATTTGTCAGACAGTTCTATTGGAAAAGTAATAAAGTTCTCACATGTTCTGGCTGCCTCCTTCGCCGGTCTAATTGCCGCCGCCACCGCATCCAGCTACCGGCGGGCACCGTCGACGGTGGTGGGAGAGCAGAAGAAGGTGATCCCCCTCCTACGTAGGACGGAATCTGGCCATTCAGGAGAGATCGAGAAGTTCTCCGACTATGTTGGTATGATGTTTGTTTTTCTGGGCTTTCATTTCCTCTACTCTCATCATATCATGGAACAAATTCAAATTCACACTTTTCCGCAGCTAAATTTTCAGATCGTGCTTGATTTTTATTTTCAAAATGTATTTCTAAATTTTGAGAATAAATCCTCTAAAATAGTACAATCCCAAACTCACTGCAGATAATCGACCACACATCTAAGATTGAAGAAAGAAAAAAAAAAGAATGGGGAAATATCTTTAATAAATTTTTTAAAAACTTAATAGTTTTTAAAAGAAATGTTTTATAAATATTTTAAAAACTTAATAGATTTTTATTTTACCACCCAATTGTTTTTCCTTTTTCCTTTTTCCCCGTAAAAAAAAAAAACTAAACTCAATATATCTTTGTTATTAAACTAAAAATATTTTATTTTTCAATTCCAACTAATTTTCCTATTTTAATTTTATAACCACACCCTCAATTATATTTAAGAAAATACTTTATTTTATTTAAAAAATTAAAATAGCTGAGCTAATTGTTAAAATCAAAATAAAGCAATTTTAAAATAAATATAATTTTTTTTTAAGTCTCGATCTACCCATTCCTCAAAGTGATTTTAAAAAACACATAATGTTGAAAAATCGGTTTATCCTAACCATTTGCCAACACAAATAATAAAATGTACTATTTAAATAAATAAATGGGAGATTGTGTTATTAGAGTAATTGATTTTTATTATGTTATTAAAACAAATACTATGAATTAGATGCTTTTGACACTAGTTCTTTTTCTTCGTTGAATGTCTTTGTTACACGTTTAAGTAACTTTCACACATTATTCTTATAATTATAATTTTTTTAATCATATCAACTTATTTTGTCTGTTAAAATAGTTAATTAATTTTCTTAACCATCTCTTTTTAAATTAACTTTCAATAAATTTTAAAAAACCTTAATAATTAAAAATAAACCTTATAATATAATCTAAATCACTCATATATTCAAATATATTTATTTATGTAAAAGTAAGTATTTATCATAGAGACACTAAATACTAGTGTGTCTTTTAATGAAAATGATCTATTAGAGACCACAATGATTGGTGGAGCTACTGAGTTTATAAGAACTTTTCCAAGAGAAGTGATTAAATAAAAATAAATATTTTGTTATGAATCTTAAAAATAAGAATAAAAATAAATATTTTATTATGAATGTTAAAAATATAAAAAAAGTTTCTTTATTAAGGTGGTTGTGATAATTGATGTGAGGATGGTTTGGAAAGAATAAACATAAACACGTAGGGTTGTTCATGAATCATGATGATATATGTTGGGTAACGTTTTCAATATGGTGGGGAATTGATGTGGTTGCAGCAAGGCAAATGGGATTTGAAGATGCTAGTGAGGTTCCAGAGCTATGCATATTGGCTCAAGAGTATTTGAGAAAATCCAAAGGGTGCGATGAAAACATCTATGAATATATTTCCAGTGCCAATGGGGAGAACACTGATTCTCTATATATGAAATTGGTTGATGAGTTTGAGAGATGCATTCTCAGTTATTTAGCATTTCACTGGAACCAAGCTACATCTGTCATTAGTCAGGTATTCATCTTAATTCTCCTTTATCCATTAAATACATTTTAATATATATATATATATATATATATATATATATATATATATATCTTAATACTATCTGTACAGTGGGTAAATAAATTACATAACAAATACTTATACAAATATAAAATTAGCAGCAAATAAATTTTCATTCACAAATTGAATGATACTACACGAGCCCACATGCCCATTGTTATAACAACTAACTATGCGTAAGGCTGGTGGTTGGGACTCGTGCTCTGAGTGGAGAGTGTTTACCTAATTTGATAACACGTGCCAAAAGAACCTGAACCACGTGCCAATCAATAAACAAATCAAAGCAAAACATATGTCCCCCTGGTGGTTGCTAGTTACGAACACCTGTGCCAATGAAGGTTGAAAATATTGTCTTCGATTGGGTTTGCGTTGCTACAATACAACAAATAATAATCATATGATAAAGTTCATGTCGGCTTTCGGCCGTAAGAGTAAATGCATCATACTTTTACCCCATACTTTTTCTTTCTAACTTAATATATTAATACTTACATTTTTCATTGGTTGATTTCTAGGTTTTGAGTGTCGAGTCTCCGCAGAAAAAAAAGCTCAAGGGAATTCTATTGGCAGCTACAAGGTAAATTTCTATTCTTTTTAATCTTTAGAATTTTTTTTTTTTTTAATAGTTCAATTCATATCATTTGATGTAGCTAAAAAAAGTTTTCTAAGTTTTAATAACATGTATTTCTTTTAAGTAGGTGAGGAATGCACTATGCAAGTAAGTATACATGTATTTAAATATTTGATGAAGTCTATATGGTGCGGTGTTTACAGGAAACAAAGGTTCGAGAAAATAAGTAATAATCTGAAGGTGACTAGAGTGTTCTCTACTTTGGTGGAAGAAATGAAAGCAATAAATGGTGACTCGCAATATTCAGATGTGATGGTGCCCATGGCCCTGAGTGAGAGGAGTCCAGTGCTGCTGTTTATGGGAGGTGGCATGGGAGCTGGAAAGAGCACAGTTCTTAAAGACATTCTTAAAGAGTAACACTCAACCTAATTCCAGTTTTGTACTATTATCATTTTCTAATGCTAATAGTTTTAAAAAATTTGTCTCAGTGCAAAAATAACAATAGTGTGGACTAAAAAGAATGAATAATAGTAAACAATTTCACAAAATAGCATATAACTTGAACAATTTTTAGACATGTGACAGATAACATTACTTTTATAAAATCCATTAATTGATGTTTAAGTATGAAAGGAATTCTAGGTTCCAACATAGTTTTCAGATTTACCTAAGATTATTTATACGAATCAAAACGCTTTGGCAGACCATTTTGGTCAGGAGCAGCTACAAATGCTGTGGTGGTTGAGGCAGATGCCTTTAAGGAGAGTGACGTAATATATAGGGCCCTTAGCTCCAGAGGTCACCATGATGACATGCTCCAAACTGCTGAATTGGTATGCTTCTGTATGAACACTTCCATGTTATTATTATAAATTTTCCTCTAAATTCGTCACTACTGTATCTGCAGCATGTGACAATGATATAAACAAATCCAAAATAGATTTTAAGAACTTTCACGTTCACATAAAGTTTCTTTTGTAATTTAGCTATGACGAAATGGATGAGATATTTTAAATCCTGTTTGCTATTTTTAACAGATAATGGCTTTATATTTAACAGGTGCATCAATCGTCCACTGATGCTGCATCATCTCTGCTAGTGACAGCTCTAAATGAGGGTAGAGATGTAATCATGGATGGCACCTTATCATGGGAGCCATTTGTGGAGCAGACTATTGCTATGGCAAGAAATATTCACAAATACAGGTACAGAATGGGAGTAGGGTATAAAGTAGCTGAAGATGGGACAGTCACTGAAAATTACTGGGAGCAAGTAAATAACGCAGAAGAAGAACATCAATCAGAGGATTTTTCTAATGGAGAACCACGCACGCGAAAGCCTTACAGAATTGAGCTAGTTGGCGTGGTTTGTGATGGCTACCTTGCTGTTGTTAGAGGCATAAGGTATACATGCTTGCGAATTCTACCATATTACTAGTTTGGGTATTGGTTTTGTGGATTTGACAGTTAACATTTCATATTGGAATTTTGTCAGGAGAGCTATTATGACAGGAAGGGCAGTGAGGGTGAATTCACAATTGAAATCTCACAAAAGATTTGCTAATGCATTTCCAAGATATTGCGAACTTGTTGATAATGCCAGGCTCTATTGCACAAATGCTATTGGTGGTCCACCAAAGGTAAATTTGAACAAGCGTTTGATTTTACACTTTTCGATGTTAAAATGTTACGGAGATAACTTGCTTGTAATACAACATATTTCAGCTCATAGGGTGGAAGGATGGTGATCACAATCTACTAGTGGATCCCGTAGATATCAAATGCTTGAAAACGTTAGGCAGTTTGAATGCTGAAGCTGATTCTATCTACGAACTTCACAAAGAATCCAACCCCATAACGGAACCTGGTTCAGTTTGGAGTGATATTGTTCTGTCACCTTCAAGGACAAGTGATCAGAAAGAATTGAGGGAATTCATTCAGAAAATAGAGAAACCATCCTAAAAATGTAACCAAATTGTTGCGTGATATGTTGAAGCAGTATAAAACTATCACTTTAGGTTTGCAAGTTTAGTTTTATTTGTATTAATCGAATGGTTTTATTAAGACAAGGAAGATTATTGTGTCGTTTTCCTGGTGAAATCTATGTGTAAGTTATCCCATGCAATTTACAAGGTCCATAAAACAATATCCTCAAAATCAGCAGATACTCCTCTGAGATAACAATGTTCCTGTTCCTCCGCCATATATTAACTGAACCGTGGAATTAATTCAATTCCAGATAATTTTATGCGAACAAATGTATATACATAATGCTGTATAGCCAATTAAATTCCGGATCGTATTTAATTGCGTGCCCTATGACAGTATCATTGAATTTAGCATGTTCTTCCCGGCGATTTGATCTGAAGGAGCTATAATATTCTTCCTTAATCAGCATGTCGTCCAATGTATCAATGGTTCACAAAAGCATTAGGAATCTCCTCAAATCATACGATCCATGACCTAAACCTCGTGAGGCAAATTCTTCAGATTGGAGAATACATATTATCACTTTCAACTTCACTTAGAATTTCACTATCATCTTCGCTATTATAGGTCTCGAGATATGCCTCATCTTCCTCCTCACCATCCTCCACCTATACATAAAAGTATTAACATAAATATAAAATGGAAAACAGTTTCATAAGTATTTTGGAGGGGGTTATTATGGCAGAGAGTGTAACCTCGGAGTTCTCATCATCAGTAGCATAGGCAGAATCCAATTTGTCATACAAGCCTTCATCTCCTTCGTCCTTTACCTTCTCCATTTGTTCCTATGAAAAGTGATTCAAGCCAAACAAGATCAGGAAACGAGGGTTCCATAAAATATACAACTTGTCTTATAAAGAAATGCTAAAAATGTAAAGATCAGTAGAACATACTATTTCAGATCTTAGCTTCCCCACTTTACCCTGCATAGCTTTAATATGTTTCAAGATCGCCTGTTTGCCAACATAAAGAGTTAATTCATCATTGGGTTTAACAAGTAAGAATGTGCATACAAGGCCTACATAGAGGGAGAGATAGAGAAATCAATTAAGATTTGCAGTAAAACCTTATTTTATTTTGGTCCCATGAAAGCTATACAAGTTGGATCTCCATTTTTTCCGTCCCTTATAAAAGTTAAAACATGAATCTCCATTTTAGTCCTATAAAAGTTTAATGTTGTTAACTAAAAAAGCCTTTGAATAATGTTGAAGATAAACATAACATACTTTTTAAGTTATAGTCTTTAACTAAGTCTAATGATATCATGTGATCTATGTGGCTGATATCACCTAACGGAGTAAGGCTTTTGTTATTGTATTCAGTACAGTCAACTAATCCAAAATGTTGTTTTGCAAGTTTTGGACATCATTTAGGAATTGAATGTGTACATAATTTCTATATACCTTTCGAAGAGATGTTTCGGCCGAATAATGAATGTTATTGCGGCCCAATTGGCTAAGCTAGAGATGTCATCTAAGTCATTGTGTAAAGTGGAAAATTGTTATAAAATGGATGAAAGGGATGGAAAAAATTGGAGATTAAAGTTCTAGGGACTAAATTTATAACATTAATCTCTTACGAGTCTAAACTGATTAAAAAATATTGCATCCTGCATGGGGTTTTGTTTAACCTAAAAATTATAAGCTAATTTCATTTGAGGGAAAGTTTCATAAGGCATATAGCAAGCAAACAGCAAACAGCTGGGAGACCAGCATCTTAATCAAGATTCAGTAATACTAAGATTAAAGGGAGATTTCTTAAGCTAGAAGAAAGTGTATAAATTATATATCAAATAAATTAATACAGGCCATAATCCAGTGTTCTGTCTGCTGACATTAGGTAGTCATAAAATAGTAGTTTTGGAGGTACAGTGAAATACAGATATGTTTCTTGCCCAATGTTTATCTCCAGATCTGCATGAAAAACGATACAGAGTAAGAGTTTGTATCACATACCTCACGTCGTTGGAGCTCAATTGAACGTGCCAAAGCCTTTCTCTTGGTCAAAAGATTTTTGGGTCTCAATGTTGAAGGACGCTTGTAATCCTTACCCCGAAAAACAATTATAGAATATCCTTTTGAAACTTTATCAACTGAGACCAGAACACCTCCACTCTCTGCTTCAAGTGCTAGTGCAATTTTCTTTACTTGTTCAAAGGTTTTAGCCTTTAAAATTATCTTGACCAGTTCCCGGTACTTCCAGTGCAAGTGCATGTTCTCAATAGTACCATCAAAAACTCCACGTCTACCTGAATCCACAAATTATTAGATATGTATAGCAGCAACACACAACGAAGGGTAACCCTCAGAAATGGAATGATTGAGAAGGATAGGTGTAAGGGGAGATAAAAGTGATTTATAAACTTTTAAGAATGGATTCTCAACTTTTAGAGATGCGATATTCAGGTATAACATTACCATAAATTATAATTATATAATCAACTTTTTTCTATCTGATTTCTTCCATCCAGCTTAGTGGCGAAGTGAGCCAAAGTGATCCTATAATATGAGAGTAATTTTTTTCAGATAGAGCTCTACCAAGAAGTAAGAAAGCTTTCATCTTCAATCCTAATTTGCGAAACATAAATCTCTCTTCATCAGTTATACTTCCAGGATCTGCTTTGTATTCTGATGGCTTCAGCGACAACTCCACCTTCACTAAGGCTTTTTCAGCTCTCATTAACTTTCTTTCAGCCTGGTAAGTAAAATCCAGCGAGTACAATAAAGAAAAATCTAAATTGGAAAATAATCCTAGAGTGAAGTCAAATACAGAAAGAGAAAATAAAGATTATCAAAACCTCCAGGAATCAGACATGGTGTAATGATACTTAAAACACATTAGAAATTAAACAAGTGTTGCAGCTGTGTAACAAACATTTTAGCCTCATTGATAATGTGGGAATCAATATGGGATACACCATAAATAATAAGTTTCTGTTCTCCTCTTTACCATTAACCCATTGCCTAACATGATCCTTACTTCATTCTCTTTCATATCATTCCTTGACTGGCCTCTTTAAGGAAACAAATATAACTCTTCATCTTTTATAGGGTAAGTTTCACATTGTTATATTATTTTTACTACTGATGTAGAACGAAGTAAACTTGAAGGTAGGTAAAGTCCTCTGGTGAGTAACTTTGGGAAGGAGGGCATTCACAAATAATTATTTAAGTTACATCTATACTAGAGAAAGTGTGACCAGCCCGATGAATTTAAGTTTCAAAATAACAGGCATTGATAATACAGTATTGGCCATACTACAACCTCCACCAATATTGATAAGTATTTCAATAACACATAATGAAACTTTACTTAACAGTTTTCCTCTTCTTATTTGATTAAAAATCCAGTAAAATATTATGAAATGGTTCAGCCACTAGTCAAATCTCAGCTAAATTAGCAGTTTTATTTAAGTTTAAACAAGAAAACCGTTATAAGAAAAAGCATTAGAATCACACAGGATGATGAGATTAAATGCAACAGGCATTGGCATGACAATTACAGACCTTAATTATAGGAAATTAAAGAACTTACTAGGGAAAGCTTTTGTTCTAATTTTTTAACAAGGTTGGCATGGCGTAATTGTTCTACTTCTCTCATTATTTTTTGCTTGTGACGCCCATCTAATGTTTTCCCCCACTTTGCATCTGCATCCATAGTTTCACCAAGAGTCCCCGCCTCGGCTGACAGCTCTGATGTATTATTAGTCTGTATAAGCAATGATGATGCTCTCAGTCTCGCTTGCTCTTCCTCATCTTGCATTATTTTTGCTGTTCTTTCCCTCTCCAGCAAGACTCGAGTGATATCTGCTGATAAAAAATTCTTTCCTCGAAAGAAGACCAAGAAATCTTTATTTCTGGACAGCAGTATACCACCTGTCAATTTCTGCAGCCAGAAGCCAACCAATTATTGATCAACTAGTAATGTATTTACAAATGCATATAACAACCTACCCAAAGTTTATTTCAGTAAATGCTAATAAGAATTAACTCAATATTGATATCCGATGTTGGCAGGCTAGCAGCAAATTCAATCCAACACCATGCTACTACATGCATTAATCTATATTATTTATTCATCATAATATTCAAATTGCTAAAAATCTATATTAATATGAAATGAAAGGTTGACAAATGAAGTGATTAAACTGCCAATGAAGGTTGTTAGAGAATAAATATATAAAGCCATTACTAGGACCCCACATAAAATTAACCTATGGGGATAGTGGGTTTAGTTAGACATTTTAATAGGGCCTCTACAACCAACTATCAAAGAATTCTGTCATTATCTTGAACATAAAATTCCAGAACAAGCTCTGTTTTTGTCCACACTTCAATCCCCAAGATTTTTCATGTAAAGGATAATAGTGCTAGATATATATCAGAATCAGTATTATTGATATATTGGATAACCAAAAATATCAACCACCCAAAAACCTTTTATGAAAATATATCGGAAGTCATTACAGGTTATGGCAAAATCATCACAGGTTAAAAATAAATAGAATATATACATATCAATAAGTAAAAAAAAAAAATAATAGTAATGCAAAAGTAATGAAAGAAAACCTAAAATTAATAATAATAGCAAATCTTGAAATTCGAATAAAAATAAAATCAAAACAACAAAACCAGCAAGTTCAAGACTAAATGACATAACAAAACAAATTTTCCTAAATTTAAAATCATGTAGCTTTTCCTCGTTCCTAACATGATTGTGTTCAATGTTATCCATTAGGCATATCCCTCTTTCTCTTCCCCTTTAAAGAAAGACTTGTCAAAGTTAAGTAATTCTTCAAAATCAGTGTTATCAACTTCAAATTCATAAAGTCAAATTGAATATTCTCTTTGCCCCTCCTTCTTGTTGAGGCTAAATTTGCACATGGACCTTTCTTGGAAGTAAGGGAAGATCCAATACTAACACCACCACTTGTTGGTTGTTTTCTTTTATTGCCTTTTTTTCTCCTTGTATAAATTGTCGGCTCTGGTACACTTTAAAACTTCATCAGTTGCTCAATTAAGGATGAGATCCTCATAAACAAACCAACTCATTCCACATCTTCATTATTATTCACTTGTTCCACTTATTTCTCGTTAATGTTATTGAACACATTAGGATCAATTTTATCTCGTATATGATATCTTTGAGCAAATTGTTAGTTATACTTATGTAAACCAAATTATGCAATTTTTTTTAGTCAAGCATATTTACTTTTTTTAATAAATTTTCATTATAAATAAGTAAAATATGAATTACTTTCTTTTGTACTTCCTAAAAAAAATAATAGTGAGATGAGCTATGAACAATAATTATTACTTGTTCAAATACACTAATTTCATTCACATCTCAACAAGCTACATGTCAAGCTTAAAAATTTCAATAGCTAATGTTTACAAATTTGGTGTTACATGATCATAATTCTTCTATCATTAAGCTATAAAAACAAAGAAAGCAACTCAAGCAATTTAGAAAATGATTCACCTTCCATAATTCTTTGCCAAAGTCATCACCAAATAGTCTAGTTCCACTCTTGTAAAGGGGCAATCCGATTAAATTTTTTTCTTTCACATCTATATTTGGCTACAACCTTAAAATCATATTTTAATTTTGGGTTGGAATAAAAAAACTCTGGATTCAAAGCAGTGACCAACTACATACTATGAGCAAAGAAGTTGACAAATTCATCTATTATCAATGATTATAAATACATTCTTGTATTTACTTTCATTGTTATTGAAAGACTTCATAATTGTTTCCTTGGTCTTCTCCATTACTTCATTGACATAGACCATAACTGCTTTTCTCTTCCCATGTACAAGATGAAGTACATAACAAGAGGAGCCATGACTTGAGAATAAAAACTACATGATCCCAAAATCAAGGCATAAGAAAAATTTTGTAGCTTTCCTACGTTTGCTTCCTTAGAGAACTTGTTCTTGCTCCATTTATCTATCAAAAGCAAACATCTTTCTCACATTCTATTTCTCTTGTTGAAGCCTTTGTAATGATAAATAAGAGGTGGCAAATTTTATAAAACAGGCAGTGAAAAAAACTGATGTAATTCTTCGAGAGTATAACAATGAGTGGAAGAGTACAGGTTATACAATTATGTCTAATGGATGGACAGATAGAATAAGGCGTTCAATTTGTAACTTTTTGGTAAACCGTCCTAAAGGGACTGTGTTTCTTTATTCATTGATACCTCAAACATCTCAAAGACTATAGATAAGGTATTTAAGATATTAGATGATGTGGTGGAATTTGTTGGAGGAGATAACGTAGTGCATGAAGTTATTGATAATGCTGCAAATTTTAAGACAGTTGGAGAATTGTTAATGTAGAAACGAAAGCATCTATATTAGACACCATGTGCTGCCCATTGTATTGATTTGATCTTTCAAAATTTTGAGAAACATTTGAAAGTCCACCAAGTAACTATTAAGAACGGAAGAAGGATCACCACTTACATTTATGATAGAACAATGTTAATTAATATGTTGAAGAAGTTCACAAATGGACGAGACTTGATAAGACCTAGTATTACTAGATTTGACACAACTTATTTGACTCAGCTATAAACAAGTGAGATAGGAACGAAAGGGGGGCATTCTAGGGATGTCTTTCTTCAGCCAGCACCTTCAACAACCAATAGGACAAATGCCGAGACGAATTCCCCCAGATTCAAACAAGATAGGGTACGCTCGATGACCAGGCAGGGCAGCCCCTTGGTTGTGAATCCCATAGGTCTAGAGCACGATCATGTGAACAAGAACATACCACTGGTTGATTCATTTGTCTGATTTGGTATGTAGGCACAAAGTAAGTGTTCCAAGTTGAGCCTTTTTGGTGCCTACCCTCGGGGCATCAAGAAGAGATGATTGTTCATGTCCCTCACCCGAGGTTCACTCACTTGCTTCCCCTTTTAAGCTCCCTTATAGCTATTGAAAATCCAGTAACATCAATAAATTAATTCCATATCCTAGCTGATGGTGGATCAGAGTTGAAGTCTGGCCCTCGGGAGGGGGGGGGATTGTGTCTCTTTCGTAGAGAATTCTATGCCCTTTTTCAGGTGTTCTAATATGGGTATAGTTCATTTAGAATGGGGTCCTATTCTGTGCTTCCATTTCTACTTTCCCAATTATCTATTGGTTAATTCCACCTTAGATCTAAGGTTGGGGGGAGCCTATGCTAGTCTTGTGCATCTCTGTTTTTAGAATGGCCCAATCACACAATCCGAACAAGAAGATCTTCCCATGGTCTCAACAGGGTTCACGAATCTTATCAACTATTTACATTAAGTAAAGTTGGAATAGATCCCAACTTGTCTTCATGAATTAAAAGCATCATTGATGAGCATGCTTAGATCTCAAGAGTGGAAAATAAGCAAATTTGGAACCTCACAGGAGGGGGGAAAAGTTGAGAATAGTGTATTAGATAGTCGCTTTTGGAAGAATGTAATTACATGCATGAAAGTTGTTGCCCCTCTTATGGTAGTCCTTTGATTGGCGAATTCAGATACAAAACCCACAATGAGTTTCATATACGAAGAGATGGATTGTGCAAAGGAGAAGATTTAGAACAACTTCAATAATATTAAGAAAAAGTAACAATTCTAAACCTTATATCATTTAGAATTTAATTACTTAATTTGTAATCAACTTCTAATATAGCACAATTGGTATTTTTGTAGTTATGAACCTGTTTGAAAAATCATTGATGAGAGGTGGGATAATCAACTCCATAGGCGTTTGCATACAACAACTTATTATCTTAATCTCCATTTACACTGTGAGCCTAATTTTAGAAATGATAATTCTGAGGTGAAAGGAGGGTTATATACATGCATGCAAAGATTGATTAATGATGTTGCAGAAAGGAAGAAAATCAATTTACAACTCATTAACTTTCATTATGCAAAATGACTCTTTTCTATGGAAGATGCAAAGGATTGTAGGAAAGTTATGCTTCTTGGAGAATGGTGGGAGATGTTTGGGGATGAAACTCCAAAATTGAAGAGGTTTGCTATTCGAGTTTTGAGTTTGACTTGTAGCTCTTCTGGGTGTGAACGCAATTGGAGCTCATTTGAAATGGTAATTCAAGTTTATGTAATTATTTGTTTTTTAATTATCTTGGTTTGGTTCATATATTTATTAAAATTGATTCTTCAATTATAGGTTCATACAAAAAGAAGAAAATGTTTGCATGAGGAAAAGATGAATGATTTGGTTTATGTCATGTATAACTTGAAGTTGAAAAATAAACAAATTAGGAAAAGTGTTGCTCTCTCATTTGATGATATTGAGTCAGATGGTGAATGGATAACTGAAGAGGAAGATACTGTTGAGGTTGAACAAACTCAAGTGGAAGGTGATGGTGAAAATGTTGACTTAGTTGGACCACGTTCATATGATCCAACTTTAGATGCACTTTAGTTTGATAATATAGTTTTTTATCCCAATGTTGATGCACACTTCTCATTTGAGGAGGAAGAACTTGATGGTGATGAAGATCACGGGGGAGATGATAGAGGATTAGATGAAGACATATAAACTTGATAATATTTGTGTTTTGTAGTTATTTCATTGTTATCTTATCACTTTAAAAACTTTTATTTGATTGGTGTATTATTGTATGAACTTATTTATTTTAGTAATGTGAAATTGATATTATCATACTTATTATTAAATTGATATTTTTCATATGAAGTAGACTCTTATGAGTCAAGTCTACAGACCTCTCACAAGTCTAAGTAGACCCTCGAGTATCATAACCTTGTTCACAAGCATTGTACTTGTAGGAGAGTTCAAGCATAGTTGCTACCAATCAGTCCATGTATCCAACATAATAGAATAACCATGTTTGTTCCACTACAATTTATGATTTTTCAACAACCCTTCAGTGTATTTCAATAAAAGAAGGAGTTGAAAAATGTGAACCATAAGTATCAATTAGTGTCAAATTACAAGATTGCTTGGTGCCAAAAATGAGTAATAAATTGATGCATTGTTGCCTTCCAAATTTTGTCTCTTTCCTTCTCTATTACAACAATTGGTTTCTACAAAATATATTGATCTACCTTTTTTACCATCATTCTCTCTCCCCTTGACATTACTAGTTGTTGAATTTTAAGCTTCATCTTCACTCTCATTAATGTCATTAGCCACATTATCTATAAATGTGGTTGATGATAATGATGGGAGTGAATAAATTGAAATTTCAATAGTTAGTAATGTTAAAGGAAGAAAGAATAATGATAAAAAAAAAAAAAAAGGTTGATGAATATGTTATGTAGAAATTCAATTCCAACCATAAAAAAAAAAAAAAGAAAAAAGGAGAAACTAAGACAAGCTAATATGAAAGAGACATGTAAGGTAGCAATGCATCACAATATTGCTAGTTTTTATACCAAGTAGGTTTAACACTCAACCTTGTTATAATGAAGAACATTCAATATATGGTTGATGCCTATGGTCCACATTTGTCAACTCTTATTAGGTAATTATAATTTTACTCAAATGGACTACATTGACAAGTTGTTGGAAGATCTTTTTTTATGTTGAATGCATGAATCAACCAAAAGCAATTATGGTTGATATGTTTTTTTTTATGAACTCTCCTGTAAGGTCAATGTGAAGTCCATTGATGACTCAAAATTTGTGAAGATAGGAAAAAACTATTTAAGATGCTTGATACTTACATAAAGAAATTCAAAAAGAGAATATTGTTCAAGTCACCACAGATAATGGAAGCAATTATGTGTTAACTGGTAAGTTATTGGAGGAGAATAAACCCCATCTAAATTGGAATCCTTATGCAACTCATTATATAAACTTATTTTTGAAGACATTGAAAAACTTTCTTTAACAAGAAGACAATTCAAAGGGGATTTAGTCTTATTGGCTTTATCTATAGTCATTTTAGCACCTTGAGTTTGTTTAGACAATTCACAAACAAGAGAGAATTGGTAAGACATATAATAACAAGATTTGTTACCTCTTATTTATCATTACAAAGGTTTCATCAAGATAAAGGATATTTGAGAAAGATGTCCACTTCTAATCAATAAAACAAAAACATGTTATCTAAGGAAGCTAAGAGGAGAGAAGCTACAAAAATAGTTCTTATGCCTTCACTTATGACTCCTCTTGTTCATGTACTCTATCTTGTAGATGAAGGAAGAAAATTAACTATGGGTTATATCTATGTAGTGGAAAAACTCAAGGAAACAATTATAAAGTATTTGAAAGTAAACAAAAGTGTATTTAGAATCATTGATAATATATGAACTTGTGAACTTCATCGCTTATTGCATGCAATTTGTCACTTTTTGAACCCAAAATTCTTTTATTCCAACCAGAAATGCAATATGATTTGGAGGCTACTAATGGATTGTATGCTTCCATCAAGAGATTGGTGCCAAGTAAAGATGTGCCACAAAAATTTTTAATTGAATTGCCTCTTTATAAAAGTGTAAGTGGACTATTTGGTAATGAGTGTGTCAAAGAATCAAAGAAGACCACAACTCTTGATGAAAGACTTGAACACGTCCAAGTGTTCCAAATTTAAGTTATAATGTTAAATTGTAAGTTACTTTATTTGTTTTTACACCTCAATGATGGAAGAATTATGGTCACGTAGTTCCAAACTTGCAAAAGCTAACAATCAAGATTTTAAGCTTAGCATGTTACTCATCGGGATGTTAATGTAGTTAGAGAGTATTTGAGTAAGTAGTAATTATTGTTTATTTATTTAATTGTTATGTTTTTTTTAGAAAGTAGTAAGAGACTCATTAACATTTTACTTATTATAAAAAATAAGCATGATTTGGTCTACATCAAGTATAACCAACAACTTGCTTAAAGATACAATATTGGAGATGAAATTGATCCTATTGTACTCAATGACATTAATGAGTGAGTACTTAGTAGGACAAGTGGATGATAATGAACATGGAGGAATGATTAGATTTTTTTATGATGATCCCACTTTTAATTGGACAATTGTTTATGAAGCTCTAGGGGTTAGAGAACCAAGAATTTATACAAAGAGAAAAAGAAGCAATAAATGAAAGAAACCATCAAGTTATGGTGTTATTGTTGGATCTTCCCATAATTTCAAGAAAGGTCGAGGCATAACTTCAACCTTAATAAGAAGTAAGGGCAAGAGATGTTTCAATTTGGGGTTGAGGAAGAATTGGAATTTGATAGCTCTCACTCTAGGTCTAAAGAAACTGAAGAATTACTTAACTAAGACAAGTCTTTCCCTAAAGGTATCAGATTATAGAAGCAGTAACTAACACTAGCATGCAACAAGAACAACTAGTACAAATACATAACTAAGTAAATGATGAACAAAGCTCGCAGTTTTGTTTCCCAATACTTTATTCAGAACAGGTATTATGACTTTGCCCACCTAATGGATGCCACTAAATGACACAAAATGTTATGAACATTTTCATGCATTAAAGGAAAGATTATGCATTAGGGGATGTAAAACCAACTTTGGAATAATGAAAAATCAAAGCTACAAAAACAAAGTCAAAAATTTCAATTGGTAGAATAGGAAAATGCATGATTAATCACCTTAATCTCTTCTGCCATTCTCTCACTGGTAGTTAGCTGTACACCTCGTTTGAGTGCAACCTTTGCAATAGAACTTATTTCCCACAATTTAATCATAGCTACAGCTAATCCTTGAAGTTGTCTGTTTCTACCTATATATCATGATTTAGTATAGTCAGAATAAAATTCAAAACTTCACATGCACAAGGGAAACAACAACAAACCTAAAGCAAAATGTGGAGGAAGGGTCCTTGCAATCCTTCGTAGAGCAGTTGCCTCTCTTAAACCAAGTGTTGATCTCACTCCAAAAGGAAGAACTCTAAAGGGAGGTTGGTAACCAGGAACAGTTGCAGGAAGCATATCTGCATCGACAGGCAATGGATCACATCCAGACCAATCTGTGTATCTAGGACCAAGACCATCCAATAACTTGTCTACTTCCTGTTCATAACTGACTTTGGGCAGATAATCTCCTTCTTTCTGGTCGTTTGTAGATTCCAAATTTGCCAATGGTTCACTTGACCCAGAACTAGAAGCAACGTCAGGAGGATTCCTCACAGAATTATAAGGCGTTTGCAAAAACATAGAGGTGTTCTCACTTTTCCTATATATTTGTTTATTCTGTTGTACCGAGGGAACTTCATAGCTCACACCCCTGTATAAGGAAACAGAGTTGCCAGACCTCCAAATTACCAGACCACCAGTTTTTCTCTGAATGTGGTTTTAAAAATAATCAAGAATACAACAATTATTGATAGTCAAAGTAGGAGGCATATAAAGTTGAAAAGCTCAAAATGGAATCTAATAAATTATATACAGCAAGCAGTATTGGCAATATACATTCTACTGATATAGCATTCAAGTCAATCCCTAGGGATAATCTCGACTCTTTGGCAAACGTTGTGGTTGAGAAGAAAAATATCACCCAACTCACAAACACACTTGTGCTTTCTCGACTCATTTATTTATTAGTGCGCAGGAAAAGTTGTAAAAATAGGTATCAGAGCCGAAATAAATAAAAAATTTACAAACATCAGAAAAGGTCATGGGAACATCTTAAGAAAAACCTGTTTGATATTAAAACATTCGTAGTTGCCCAGCTCCAATCCCAGGAAAGGTAAGTGTTGGAGGTATATAAATTGATCATATAGCAATTAAGGATTAAATCCTAAAGAAATTTGTATATTTATCTACAATTCACTGCCTATTCTGTCAATCCTATTTCCCCACGTTGATTTGAAATGTCTTCAGAAGAAAAAAAAAAATAATTGGACGGGCAATTGGGAAACCATCTGGAGCTAGATATATGACAGTATTAAGGACAAGAAGGGAAAAAGGAAATGGGGTTGGGGACGTTCTTTGAAATGCAATTCACAGTGCTGTTCTGTAACTGGTGTAAAAGACTACTTTCATACACACAAGACATGATAAAGACTTTGTTGGCCTATCTACTTTCGAGAATTTTATGAAGCTCCCAATTTGCATAGACATGAGCAATTTTACTACTCTTTTAATTATCCAAAACAAAACACTTCACAAAGGTGTTTCATCCTTCAGTTCAATAAACACTCCTCGTTCCCACCAGGCACCCTACAAGTTTTGCAACAAAGAAATACTTTCTAGACACACAAGAAGCCAGAGATAAACAGCAAACCTCCAGTATCTCATGCATCCTCTTCATGTTGAGCGCGGCCTCGCCTTCAAACTTGAGCCTCACAATCTCTGCCGTCTTCCACCTCTCATGAATCTTGTCCACAACAGCTTGAGTAACCCCACTCCTCCCAATTCTTGTCTTGTGCTTCTTCTCAAAAGTCAACCTGAGCAGCCTCTTCAATTCTGACTCGGGAAGAGTCAATTGCGCCAAAGAGGGCTTACTTCTCCTCATGCTTTTCCTATCTTCTAACTCTTCAGCCACTGACTTCTCCCACGGAAACCTCGCTTCCCCGTCATCCCTTCCAAATATTCCAAACCCTAATGGAGACTCTGCAGAAAACCCACCTCGTGCATTTGGCAACATTCCTTCCTCCACGTAAAATATATCTTCAACTGACCCTTTTTCTATCACTTTCTCTTTATTCTCAATCCCATCACCAGCGTACCCAATTTTCTTCAATTTTTCCACAATCCTATCCATGGTGCTTCCACGGCTATTACCACCACCCTCCTCGTCAGAGCTCACAGAACCGGATTTTGATGCGTGCCCATTTCCGGAACCTTGGTAGTCTAGAACCGCACGTGGCGGTTTGGGACGGTGGTGTTGGTTTGCGGGGTGGTTCCACCGTTTCAACCAGTCTTTTTCGGAGGAGAAACTTCTGGCGGGGTTGCAACGAAAGAAGATGAGTGGTTTGGGACGTAGGAAAGTGGAATTGGGAGAGGATGTGCGGGAGTGGCGGAAGAGGGAGTTGCAGAAGAAGGGAGAAGACTGAAATGAATCGAAGAATGGGCGAGTGGGTACAAGAGCCATAATCACATTGGCATTAGTGAATGAAGAGAAAGAAAATGATGATGGTATTGGGTGTAATGGAATGCTTCTGCTTATGCTCTGTTGTGTGTTGTATTGTGCTCCTTCTTACTTACACTGCGGTGCTCCAGAGAGAGAAATAAATATCCACGCTGATTTTTGCTTCCGCCAAAACCACAAAGGATAGGGGACTGTACAACCCAATCATTTTACAGTAAACAATTTTATCTAAGATCCATAAATTGGAGAAAATAATATTATTAAAAATAATAATGAAAATCACATATAATGTTTTTAAATCAAGGAGAAAAATAAATAAAAAATAAAAAAAACATGTAAATTTTATGTATGGTGTATGGAAATTAAAATATCAAAAAATTAATTTAAATTAAAAAAATAAGATTGAAATTTAAATTATGTAAGATAGAAGAATAATTATCACTTAATAATAGTTATATAATATTATAATAAATATTTAAACTGGCATAATCATATTTAAAAAATAATAATAATAGCTCCTTAAAATATTTTCTTGGGCTCCTTAAATCAGCAAGGCACAGACTCCTCTCGAGCCCAAACAAGTAATCCATCTCTCGCTCCTTCATTCATGGCAATGTTCCACGTACGGCAATATTTTATCTTTCAAACAATAAAGCAAATAAAGCTTCGACATGTTGAGTGCATAACATATATTAGTTCGTTAAATCCCTTAAAATAACACCAATCAATTATTAATATCAATAAAAATAATATTTTTAAAAAGGTTAATTCTAATATCATTTTCTTCAACACATAAACTTTTAATATATTTATAAGTTTACTAGTTTATAATTAGTTAAAATTATTTTGTCTCACATTTTTCTTTATTTTATAAACAAAAATTATTTATAAAAGGTAAAATTTACTAGGAATAATTAGAAGAAATGATAAAATAAGATATGATTAAGGTGAGTTAAAAGCACAAATATGAAACTAAATCATGTAACTCATCCAATATAATATCCTATAATCTGATTAAAGATTAGGAATAATATGTATTCAAGCAAACTCAAACTCTAGGGATGACAATCAAACTTGTTCACGTGGGGACCGATCCGTCCCCGCGTCGAGGTTGACAGAGAAAACAGAGTTGACCGGGTTCAGAGTTCGGATTCGGGGATGAGGATGGGTAATACAATCTTGCCCTCATCCTCGTCTTGACTTTATATTTAAACCTAAATTCTAAAATAAGAACCCTTTGTCTATTTGTCTTCTTTTCTTTTTTTAATGTTAATTATATTTAAATTTAAATCCTGATATATAACCCTCTGTCTTTTCACATTACCCTTTTTATCTTCTTATAATACATTTTATCTTCTCATTACGTAGTGTGTTTCTTTCTTTCATTTTACTTCCATTTATTCTTAATTTTTTTGTCTTTTGAATCTCTTCACAACTAGTCTTAGTTCAACTCACATTTGGTTTCTCCTATCTCTTTAACTAGGTTGAGTTCTTTGATCAACTTCTCCATATTTTCACTTATTGAACATATGGTAATTCTTATTTATTTATCTTTTTCTAAATATGTACATCAATGTATCATTTTATTTCTAATTTGGTTTTATTAGGTTTCTGTTATATCATGTTTTCTGGGTTTACTATTCTTATTTATCATATATCATATCTTATGTTAATTAAATGATTATATTTTTTTATCTTTTATGATCAATTTAAGTCTTATTTTAGAAGAAATAAACAGAGGATTTTTTATCTTTAAACAATCATTAATACATGTCTTGTTTATTTTAGTAGGGATTTTTTTTTTATATACAGTGGAAAATAATGAAACAACACAAGCAAGTATGCATGAATCATTGTTAAAAGAAAATTCTAACCTTGAGGGTCCTACTCCTACACCAAATGAAGTCCCACCAGTAACTAGAGATAATGAGCATGATGGAACTATATCATTGGGATCAACTTAAAAGTAAGATTTGACAATATTTTCAAAAGATTCAAGTTAATGGAGAGGACAAGGCTCAATACAATTATTGTAAGAAACTTTTGGGAGGAAAATAAAAAAATGGGACGAAACACCTGTGGCAACACAATGATAATTGTATTCAATTCAAGATTTCTACTAAAGGGAAAAAAAGACAAATATTTCTTACCCCTAAAGTTATGCAAGGTAAACAAGAGTTGAGTACAAGAATTTATGATGCAGAACATGTAAGAAAAGAATTTGCACATACAATTATTATGCATAAATATCCACTTTCAATTGTAGATCATATTAATTTCAAGAGATACTCATATGCTCTCCAACCAGTATTTGAAGTTCCTTCTAGAAACACTATTAAAAAGGAAATATTCAAAGTCTACAAGTCTGAGAAATCAATAACTTTGAAGTCATTGGATAGCCTTGAAGGAAGAGTGGCTATAACATCAGACATGTGTACTTTAGATAATCAACAAAGAGGATATATGGTTGTCACATTATATTGATGATTCTTAGAACTTACAGAGTCACATTTTAAGGTAACAAATAACTTTTCTAGTCATATTTTATGTTATTTTTATTTTGGTATGGTAAAATGATTGAATATTAATTAAATTTATGTGAATATTATTATGTTAGGTTCATTTATGTTCCAACTCCTCACACAAGTGATAAACTTTGCAATGCATTAGTTGAATGTTTGATGGATTGGAACATTGATACAAAATTATCCACTATCACCCTTGATAATTGTATTACAAATGATGCTATGGTTGAAAAAATTAAGGGTAAATTGCAAATTAACACTTTATTGAGAGATGGAGATTTACTTCACATGCGTTGTTGTGCTCATATATTAAATTTGATAGTCAAAGATGGGCTAGAGGTAGTGAAAGATGAGATTGAAAAAATTCGGGGTAGTGTAGCATATTGGTCTGCAACACCTAAGGGGAAAGAAAAATTTGAAGAAATAGCAAAGCAATTGCGCATCTCTTGTACTAGGAGCTTGGTTTTAGATTGTCCAACAAGATGGAATTCAACATACAAAATGCTTGAAATTTCCATAATATATGAAGATGTGTTTAATTGATTGAAGCAACGAGATTCTCAGTATACTTGTTTGTCAACTAGTTTACAATGGTAGTTTACAAGGGATGTTTGTGAAAGGTTGAAATTGTTCAATTTTATAATAGAATTATTTTCTGCTACTAAACATCCAACTGCTAATTTGTATTTTTTTCAATATATGTGAGATTAAATTGACATTGACTGAGTGGATTGCATCTCCAAATGAAGTGATTAAAAAAATGTTTGAGAACATGTTGTTCAAATTTGATAAGTATTGAAATGTGATTCATGCTATTATGGGAGTCGCTACTGTTTTGGATCCTAGATACAAAATGGAGTTACTTAAATATTATTATGAAAAGTTGTATGGTCATGAATACTTTTTGCAAGTTAGGATGATTCGTCAATTATGTTATGACTTGATTTCTGAGTATCAAATAAAAATGAATAAAGACACATTTGGCGAGTCTCCAACAAGGGATGATACTAATGTTGCTGGTGATGCATTAATTGAGTATGACAAGTATATTTTAAGAAAAAAGGGCAAGAAATACATATGTTAAACACAGAGTTAGACCATTATTTAGAAGAAGAGGTTTTACCAAGAAAAACTGATTTTGATATTCTAATGTGGTGGAAGTTGAATGAAGTCAAATACCCAACACTTCAAGCAATTGCTAAAGATGTATTAGTTATCTCTATCTCCACTGTAACTTCTGAATCTGCATTTAGTATTAATAGTCAAATATTAAGTCTCCATCGCAGTAGACTTCATTCACTACAAGAAAAACATCAAATAGTGACCGAAAATTTGGTCACTAAATCTACAAAATCGGTTACTAATTAAAATAGTGACCGAAATAGTGACCAACTGGAATCGGTCACTATTTTCTTGGTCACTGATTTTAGTGACCGATTCAGTGACCGATTTAGTGACCGATTTAGTGACCGAATCAGTGACCGAATGGAATCGGTCACTATTTCCTTGGTCACTGATTTTAGTGACCGATTCAGTGACCGATTGACCGATTCAGTGACCGATTCGGTGACCGATTATATATAACCAAATCGGTCACTGAATCGGTCACTAAATCAATGAAAAAGTTAATCAATAACAAATTTAATTATTTTTATTTATTTACACTTTTATTATATCTATTATTTATTTTCCCTATTTCTTAATTATATTATATTTTGCTTATTTAAGTTTTTATTTATATTTATTTCCCCTATCTTTATTATATTTTTTAGAAGTTTAACTTATTATTAGGTGGTTTATTGTCATTGTCGGGATTCGAACCCGGTACCTTAGAGTTGGAGGATGAAACTCCAACCACTGAGCTACTTAGGATCTTTTAATAATAACTTACAAATAAATTATATTTATATACAAATAAATGTATATCCGTATAAATATATAAATATAAAATCTATAAATAAAAATATATTTATATATTTTAATATATAAAATCTACAAATAATGGTATATTAGTATAGTATCGTATATTTGTATTCTAATTTTTAATTAAATTAAAATTATGCTAATAATATATATTAATATATGAGGGGATAATATTGATATATTTGTATATATATATATATATATATATATATATATATATATATATATATATATATTTATATATTGATATATTTATATATTAATATATTAATATATTTATATTTTTATATTTTTATATTTTGATATATTTATATATTGATATATTTATATATTTATTTATATCCTTATACATTTATATCTTTATATATTTATATATTTGAAAAAAAATATTAAATTTTAAAAATAATATTATATTTTTAAAAATAAATATTAGAAAAAGATTTAAAAATATATATAAATTATATTTACATTTACAAAATATTAAAGATATATGTTTATATCTTTACATATTTATATATATTTATATGTTTATATTTTTACATATATTTATATCTT